CTGCTCCCTCGCTGCTTTGCTGGCAGTCTGTGGTATCGCCTTTCCCTCCTACGCTGGCCACCTTCTACTAAGTTTTACACATGGAAATAGTTTGCCTAAAGTAGCCCAAGCCTGAGGGAAAAGTCACCTCTCTGACTGAAGCTGCTCAGCCTCTTACCAGCAGCAAGGGGGAAGAAAGTCACTGTTGCGGGCAAAACATTCTTGGCATGGGGAATTTCACTTAATTTATTGCCAATTAACTTAAGCTTTTAATTACTCCTGCCCCTAGCAGCTACTGCCCTTTCTGAAGTTGACCTGAGCAGAGGTGCCATACGCTCCTTCGATTAGCTGAAGCTTTGGTGTGCAGCAGGCTAGTGTCCCCCCCTGCCACACCAGCTAGCGATGGCTGTCATCGCTTGGCACAGGGCTGTTCTCCCACACAGGCCAACCGTGCAGCCCCCTGCTACCGAACCCGGGCCGCTTACACCCAGCACAGCCATGCTCCAGTACCCCCTTCCACGCAGGCGAGGGCTGACCAAGCTTCCCGTACTCTTCATCCCCACAGTATGCTACAGCTTCCATCTTGAAAGAATTTAATTTTTTTTGGCTCCAGCAAAAGCCAAGTTATTTCCTCTCCAATTCTCAGCATACAGTCACACTAAGCCCCGTTCAACACATGCAATTCAGCTTAAATCCAGTTCTTTGCATCCCACCCAAGCAATCTTCTCAGCACCCTGCTGGTGAACCTCAAGCCCCCAGCTTTTGCTGGCTGTTGTTCTTTGGGCACAATTGCACAGTCGGTTGTCCCCACCCCAGCTCAAGTACCCCACAGCACCACACACCGCCTGCCCCTCTCCAGCGCGATGGCGTGGGCATTCGCGGGGACACAGACCTCCTTACCTGACTGCCTCGGGGGAGGTCTTAAAGGGAATATTTCTGTTGTACTGCGCATCGGAGACAAATGCCGCTGCCAGCAGGAGATCCTGCGGAAAGGGGAGAACGTGCACAGTCAGTAGCTTGAAATAAAGTTAAGGCAGATACTCGCGGGAGGTCCCTTTTGCTACGGGGCGTGCTGCGGGGGTGAGGAGCGGGGC